CTAGCTGACGTCGCCCACGATCGGCCTGGTCAGAGTCCAGTGATTCCATAAGTCCCGGCTGGTCGAAGCAACCAGGACAAACAGAAAAACCAGCCCCCAACTTGACCGAAACGTTTCTGACTCCAGCCCATTTGGCTCGGCCCTCAGAGCCAATCCTTTTCCCGAAGTTACGGATCCAATTTGCCGACTTCCCTTACCTACATTGTTCAATTGCCAGAGGCTGTTCACCTTGGAGACCTGATGCGGATATGGGTACGGCCTGCCACGAAAATTATAATGCCTCGCTCGGATTTTCAAGGGCCGACAAGAGCGTTCCGGACACCACAAGAGGGGTGGTGCTTTACGGAGGCTAGTCCCCTATCTCCGGACAACCCGATTCCAGGGGATGGTGCACTCCTAATAAAGAAAAGAGAACTCTTCCCAGAACTCTTGCCGACGTCTCCGAGGTCGTTTGCGTCACCGCGCTCGATGCGAACCAACACAAGGCCAGAACACATCAATCTCCGTGGACAGGGTCGAGAATATTAACCCGATTCCCTTTCGCTACAGGGGGCTGCTTGCAACAGTACAATCGCAGCAATCCTGAACATGTCAAGCACCCGGTCTCTTTACCGAGTTACCGGATCACTTAGGACCGCCTGACCCATGGCCAACTGCTGTTCCCATGGAACCCTTCTCCTCCTCGGCCTTCAAGGTTCTCACTTAAAAGTCAAAATCAAGTAAGCTTTTGCCTTTTTACTCCACTCCAAGTTTCCGTCCTGGCTGAGCTCACCTTGGGACACTTGCGTTACCATTTGACAGATGTACCGTCCCAGTCAAACTCCCTGCCTGACATTGTCTTCAGAACGGGTCGCACATCACCATCGGACTCAAACACCAAGGCGATAGCCATAGCTCATCTGACATGACCAAGACACCAACCCCCGCAACATAAGTCACGGACGTCAGCATGTGCTTAGCACAGAACCGTCACAGTCAGCTGATTACACTCGAAAGCAAGCCGAAGCGAGCCAACAAGCTACCTGCCATCCCGACCAGGCAATGCCACAAGGACACTACAAGACCGGTTTAACTATGACAGCCTGACAGCGGCGTCGGTCGTGGTGACCACTCTGAGAAAGTGCACTGACAAGGAGGCTCGATGAACACCCAAAGCGTGCAACACTTGGTAAGTGTATCGCACATCCCAACCCAAAGGGAAAGGACACGTGGTTTAACGTACTTCGGGGCCCAACCAATTTGACCAAGCCCAAACCAACCTCACCAGCTGAATTCTCAAAGCTTGCAGTTCAACTCCACCTGCTTACCTCTGAGCGGTTTCACGCACTGTTAACTCTCTCTTCAAAGTACTTTTCAACTTTCCCTCACGGTACTTGTTCGCTATCGGACTCGTGCTTGTATTTAGCCTTGGATGGAGTTTACCACCCACTTTGGGCTGCATTCACAAACAACCCGACTCCAAGGTCTACCCAGAGAAGCACTGGCCTGCCGAATCTCCACCCGAACGGGCCTTTCACCCTCCATGGGCCATGTCTGTACTACCGTACTCATTGATGGACTTGGGGTGGAGCAGCGCTTCTGCGGAACGACCTAAACACCACATTGCCTAATGACCAACTGGCCACAGGCTTCGGTGCTGGGCTTTTCCCTGTTCACTCGCCGTTACTGGGGGAATCCTTGTTAGTTTCTTTTCCTCCGCTTAGTGATATGCTTAAGTTCAGCGGGTAATCACGTCTGATCCGAGGTCAGGATTAGAAGGCCGTATTTCGGAATTCACCACACGAGATGTTCTACAGAGCGCGCATAAATATTACTGAGCCACGACTCCGTAGACACATCTCCACCTGTCTGATAACTAGGTGTGTGTATCCGGATACATTAGGATAACGCCATAGATCTGACACCCCTGACGTTTCCGACTGGGGAGTAAAGCCAGCTGGCAAAATCCAAGCCACGACTTATTGGGCGTCGTGATAGTTTGTAAGCCGACCCTCGGACAGGCGTGGCCACAGGCTAACCCATGGCCGCAATATGCGTTCAAGATGTCGATGTTCAAAGCAGTATGCAGTTCACATTAATTCACACAGTTGGCTGCGCTCTTCATCGACACACGAGCCGAGTGATCCACCGCTCAGAGTTGTACATGGCTTAGTCACCCGTTCTCACAGGTGATAAGTCATTTTCACAGTCAAACCTGGGTCAAGGCAACGCCAGGCGACTGTAAATGCAACCCAGTGTAGGCCGGGAGCATTAATGAGCATTGACACATGCAGAACGAATCTAACATGCGTCACTCATACTGTGAAATAGGATAAACATAGGGCGGTGGCCGAGCCGTAGCTCTTGATATTCACCACTCATTGAGCCTAGTACCGTTATGTTTACAGTACACCCCGTCCCCACAACAGGGGCAGGCAGCCATAGGCCGCATGCATGTCGCGGGTATCAGACAGGTAGGCACCCTGGTCAACGTGCGCTGTGCGTAGCGGACAAGTCCACAGGCACAGCCGAAAAGAGTCAGTGACTCGTACTGGTAATAATGTCAGCCACCAGCTGATCATTTGGATTCGTGAATGCTGCATGAACCACTGTTCAGCATACTGTACATCCCAGAGGGAAACAACAGCAGGGCGGTGGCCGGGCCGTAGCCCTTGATATTCACCACTCATTGAGCCTAGTACCGTTATGTTTACAGTACACCCCGTCCCCACAACAGGGGCAGGCAGCCATAGGCCGCATGCATGTCGCGGGTATCAGACAGGTAGGCACCATTCGCGGTTTCACCGTTTGAAGGTCTGTACTTAGACATGCATGGCTTAATCTCTGAGACAAGCATATGACTACTGGCAGGATCAACCAGATTGTTCACCACGTTCAGGTCCCGCAGACCAGAACAAACACCACACGGAGCACCAACCGTGCGGACCATGCAATTTCTCTTCACCGTCAGGATCGCCCTATCCCGCGGCCTTCATTGCTTGAAAGCAATCGGATTATCGTTCAAACACAGTTGATGCAGGTCATGCCCCCATTGACCGCTCAACGTACAGAACAAGCCAGTCGGCTTAACCAAGGTAAGAGCATCACGCACACTCAAACAGAGATGACTGACAACAGCCCTCGCCCGCAAGGTGCACGCTAGCCCCGAACAGAATGATGAAATCCACCCGCCAATGGAGCAGTAAACGGTTACGAAATGCGCAACGGCCGCACTATGAAACGTTAATCAGTGCACCGAGCAACACGTCGCAACGACAGAGCAGGCATGCCCCGGTGGATCCGGTGCATTATAAAACTGCCAGGCATAGCCGATCAGACCACAGGTAGAGTGGACAAGTCGCATAGTTGCCCGACATGATGTCGATGGGCAATGAGACTCACCACTACGGCCGGGTTTTGTACCCCGGCGCACCGAGTGTGTGAAAACACCCATTGAGGCATTTGAAACCTTTTGGTATGCTTGAGCGCGTACTTCCTTTCCAGTGCCACCTCACTGGTTACCAGTGCCCCGTCACTGGTTTCGCTAGATTTGTATACTTTCGCTTTCGCACATCTGGTATATATACGGCAGTACGTCCGCCCCCAAACATACCAGGGTGCCTGCTGTCATCAGGCACCCTATAGAACACAAAAATATGGCTTCGCCTTAAGCCCCAAATTAAAAAAATTTATTGCCACCACCACTAGAAAGGGTAAATTGATAGCTGTACACACCCACATATGCCGCAATCCTACCAAGCTGTGGGTGCCACGCTGCTATAAAGCCCACAGTCATATCCCGCGTACCATCCGCAATGCTCCCATACGAAGTTTTGAGCCAGGATGGCACTTTCGTAAATTCGCACTATTTGGCGGGAGTCAGCCACCAACCTATGCCAGAGGTTCCCCAACCCTCTAATATGCATAGTTGGCCATCCCTTCATACCCCAAACATCATATCTCAACCTGACCGTAGGCTTCACCCAGGTCCATAGGTGTCACCCAGGTCCGAGGACCATAGGTGCCCTCTATAATACATACGCTTTTTGGTTCGACTAAGGGCCCGGATAGAAATTGCACCAGCGCATTTGCATTTAACCGTATTTCATTGCCAGTGAATCTGCATGTATCTAGTTTATATTGCACCAGTTAGCTAGACAATGTTGTATAGTACATTATTAATATAGTAAGTTGCGATATCTGAATAAATATTTAGTAAGTATTTATTAATAATTAGACAGCTCAACTCCCGCCAAAAAAACGGCGGGAGTTACGTTGTCTAATTATATGGCTGAAACGTTTACAAATTAACATATAGGATTGAAGTATTAATGTTATGCTGTGCACTAAGCTATGCGCTATTTATTCACGTGTGTTAAATGACACAACTACTAAGGACTGGGGCAGCAGGGGCACACAAATGCAATTGCGCTGGTGCAATTTCTATCCGGGCCCTTAGGCGAACCAGAAAACGTATGTATTATAGAGGGCACCTATGGTCCTCCGACCTGGGTGGCGCCTATGGGCCTGAGTGAAGCCTACGGTCCAGTGGAGATATGATGTTTGGGGTATGAAGGGATGGCCAACTATGCATATTAGAGGGTTGGGGAACCTCTGGCATAGGTTGGTGGCTGACTCCCGCCAAATAGTGCGAATTTACGAAAGTCCTATCCTGGCTCGACCATTGCCGAAGGTACGCGGGATGTGACTGTGGAACGGATAGCGGTGGGGCCTAGTGGGGTTGATGAGCGCGCGGGCATTTAGGGCGCCTATGCTACTCATACCTGTGTGGCGCCTATATGTGTACAGCCGTGGCATCAGTTACCTACACCTATGGTAGGCATACCGTGGGTGTATATCTCTCTATGCATGGTACCCACAGTCATCGGACCAGGGTACACTGCGGTAAGCCTTGCCACACTCCCAAAGAGGTGGTGGCTGCGCGAAATTTTAATTTGGGGCTTAAGGCGAAACAATTGACTTGTGTATTATAAGGGGTGGGTACCACTCCTTCCTGTCCCCTATATCTTATGTATAGGTAAAAAACTCCCGCCAATCTTGGCGTGAGTGTGCATATCATGCACGCTATACATCGGACACCGGGCCTGTGGTATACGGCCGTGTCCAGGTACCGAGGTACCTGAGCATGGTGGTATATCCAGGCTTGGGGGGACTTGCTACTATAAGGGGGGGGTGTGTGTGTTCACACACCATGAAAAGTTTCTTTAGTCCCAGGCGCGCCGCGGGGCCGGGCGCTTTCGCAACGCAAAATCTGGTTTCGGCTTAAGCCCCAAATTAAAAAATTGTCCAGGCGTGTCGTGGAAACGGCATGGGCCGTACGCCATCGTCCGTCAAGCACAGTCGCGGCGGCGTCCTTGCGTCGGATATGGTATAGCCGTTGCTGGTGGCCATATTGTAAGCGACGAAGTTGCCGGCGATTTCGGGCATGGGGCTGGTGAGGCTTATATTTGGTTGGTCTCCAGGTGTGCGGGTAGTTGACTCGACAAAACTCGTCGAGGTCACTTGCGAAGGAGGTCACGGGTTGGGCTGTTTCTCGGTGACTCCGTAGGATGGAAAGGAGTCCCGCGGATACCTGAGTCTTTACGTTCGCGGCTTGTAAGGCGGTGCTTGCCGCGTCTATTAGTCGGATGAAGGAGGTAGGTGCATCATCCTCTGTCGAGGGATCCTGGTCGAGGTTAGTGTCGGATAGCGTGGAGGACGCTTCGGTTGCCGGAAGTGCTAGGTCAACAACACCTGACTCGTCTAGGTCCACCGATGGAGGTTGATGTGTGCATTGGGGCACAAATACTCCGTGCTCTTGGATGACTGATTCATTGTAGGTTGTGATGTCTAGATCGACTGCAATTGGACTTTGATGTTTTTCGGCCGCAACTGACGTGGGCGATGTTGGAAGGCTGTTGTAACCCTGGAGGGGAATCTGAAGGACGTTATGCTCGGCATCGTCGCGTGGGTTTTGAAACGCATATGGTGTAATCAACACGGTTGAGGTCCTAATATCTGCGTGAAGCGACTCCCCGGACGAACCGGAGGTGTCTAGGCTTGGAGACGATGGGGAGGATACCTCCGTGGGGCGGTTGGTGTGAATGGTAGGCAAGCGCGTTGAGGATGAAGCACCGTTAGGTGATGGACGTTGCCATTTGAGCATCTGTAGCCGCTTCTTTATGCTGTCCACTGACCTTCTTGGCATATAGGAATGTATCGCCGGAAGAAGCTCCTGGAGCAGTGAGTGAGAGCTACTGAGTTGTTGTGCAAGCCGGAGCAAGGTGGCATCCTCCAATGTGCTCCAGCACATTGTGTGGTGCAGTAGCTGTTGCATGCACTTGGCGTTGTACTCCAAAGGGTGTACGTGCCGCATGTGCTGCGAAAGGCCTACAATTTTCTGGAAATGTTGTTGACAGATGGAGCAGGTTGGGGTTATGGGTGGCAATAACCGTATAACCGGGTTTCGGGCATGGGCTGCTTTGTGTCTCAGTAAACCGGACCGGAGCCGGAAAGTGCGCGGGCATTGATCGCAACGAAAGGTTACGGGAGAGACGTTTTGGGCTGGGGCACTGTTAAGCTCAGTAGGTGCTGTTGGGGGGTGAGGGAAGGGAGAAGGCAGCTGGTTCCGCGTACTGGAGATGGGATCAGCGGTGGCCGATCCGGTGGTAGTGCTATCGGTGTTGTCATCTCCAGTTACACTACCGCCCTGACACAGCAGGACGGGAGTAGTCAGGTTACAGGCGGGTGCCTGCGCCGCGGGTCGTTCACCGACCCTTATCCGCGGCTGTAGTGGGGTGGAGGAGGGAAGTACGGTAGGAATCGAAGGGCTGGAGTCGGGATAGGGACCGGGAAGTACGTCAGGAGCGTCTGCTTGACGAGGGGTTGTGGTAGGGTGGGAGGTTGCTCTTGGCCTGTTTCGACGGGGGATGGGTCCAGGTGCTGTAGAGGCATCGGAATTTGGGTAATCCTCAGTTATCGCAGAAGAGTCAGAGGAGAGTTCGGTGCTTTCTGCAAATCGGATGCTTGTGTCCAGTGCTGCCTGCATGACGTCCAGCCGCGGCTTTGTCCATTGAAGGTGCTGCAACCTCTTCTTCAGTGTGGCCACGGTTCGGTGTGGGAAGTGTTGTTGAAGCCGTGCCAGCAGAGATTTCAGCAGCTTCTCTCCGGAATGTAGCGCATTAGCTAACCGCATTAATTCGGCGTCCTCTTCCCTCGTCCAGAAGACGCTCCGAATAGCTCTCCTCGATGACATGAGGGCGCGGTAGTCATCCTTATGAGTCCTCCTGCGGTGTGTTGTCAGGGCTCTTGCAGAAGGAAAGGATCGGTCGCAGACGGGGCAGGAAGCGGGGCCATTCTCGACGACCGTCCGGAGGTCTGATGGGTGTCTTGTGTGGTAACCCATGTGTCGGTTCAAGCCTGCAGCTGTAGAATAGTGGCGGTAGCAAATAGAGCACCGATGAATAGGTGCCAAGAGCGTGAAGGGGAGGGGGTGCAGAGGGGTAGAGTTCGGTTGTGCAGATACCGTGGGCGCGGGAGGCTGATTGATCTGGGGATCCATGGGCAGGTTTGAAGAGATGACGACAGATTGGAGGACTAAGAGACGCGGGTACCATAGAGCTCGGGCCAGATAAATGTAAGTAAATAAATGCTAGGTAATCTAAGTGAAGAAAGTGTGGTGGAACCCTAGTAAAGTATATGGATAAAAGCAGGGTGGTACGGATAAGAGCAAACATACAGTAGGGTCAGTGACAGTGGCGTGCAAAAAATAACTTTCCCGCGGGGAATGTTGGTACGGCTAGATAAGACATGCCCGTTAACTAGATCTTCAGTAGGGCCAGGTAATCCTAGTCAGAAAGGCCTACACACAAAGACAACTTAGACAATAGTCACCGACCTAAAAGCAGAGCACGAGATCGTGGCATGGTAGTAGAACTTGCGAATCCAGTAAGCGTAGTCTATTGCCAATAAAAGCAATGGTATCCAGATTCGGAATGCAGGAGTGAAACTATAATAAGCGCGTAGCCAAGCTTGATAAGTAAGACGAATTGGTAAGTATATCCAACGGTAGAGGCAGTAAGGCGTTGGGAGACAGCATTTCGCGGGGCACCAACTAAGGAATATCACATGAAAAGGTGTCTAAACCTGTACAATATAGTAGAAAGTCCAAAGGAGTAGTATAAATTAAAATAAGACAGCCGTGGTGTAGATAAATTATCAAAAAATAAAAATAAAATAAAAAGGCTCACCGGTTTTAACGGGTAAACGCCTAAATATGGATCCAGAAAACAATAATGAATAATAAATGAAGAAAAACTGACTAAAAGTCGTGAAATATTATTTAGGATATACTTAAGTACCTAAATATTACTAAACCGCAACGGAAATAACGAGAAAAAATAATTAAATTACTCCCGAGTTTACTATAGAAAATGCCCATATGTCAGCTCATTTAAACAAATGTTGTGATAAAAGGTATAAATTTTATTCTATAAAAAGCGTTTAAATGAAACCAAAGTAAGATCTAAATTAATAATAAAAAGAAAAATCAAAGGCTAAATGGATATCACCTTTTGATTTAATGAGCTGACATGCGCGCCATACGGGGTATGTCAAATCTGCAGGCAAACGTCGACAAAATTTGGGTAAAGCCTGCCGAGAGATTATAAGAAAAGATATCGATATCTATACATATAATGACTTAGAAAAATACGCTTAACCAACTTTTCGGTCAATGAACTTTACCGCATTTGAAATAAGAAATCTAGCACCCGCCCGAGAAAATCCTATATTAAACCGTTGGTGGGTATCATCATTGCCCCTAAAAATATTAAAACCAAAATAACTGTTTACCGGTGGCTCCAGCGATAAAAATAATGAAAGACTAAAAGATGCAGAATTTAATTCTCTACAAGTTACGAAGGGTATATTATAAAGGGAAAAGCAGCAATACGCAGAAGCTGAAAATCCAGCTTTCCAGCTAAGTACACGTATGCCCTTTGTCAACAACTAGGTCACCGGTGTTTTCACGCCTATCTTCAATACCGTTAGTCAGAATTAATTGCACAGGTATTTAAACCGATCGTAATAGCATTATCTATAATATCGGTCAAAGCAGTGGATGCTTAATTCGCTTTGGTTCTCGACATATACTAGAGAGACGAGAAACTTGGCATAAAAATCACTAAAAATCACTAAAATCGCTGTAGCATGAGAACTACTTAACCGAAATCCGACAAACTCGTCTCATCAGATGCAGCAGCAAATGCCAAAGATAACGATGCATATATGGCCTTAGTACACGTAACGTAGCGCATACCAGTAAATAATAACCCGTGAGAAATAGCAAAGCTGGTGAATATATCCGCACCCACTGTCCGTACAGAGAAACCAAACACACCATTAAAAAGAGCTAACAAAACTGAATAAGAATAGTAGAAAAACTAAGAACAAAAAGGCCCGAGCTCCAGGTTAACGCACTCTAGTCGTACTTACCAATCATATTTAAGTAGTATATCTATAAATTAGACCTTGTGGACGTGCCGTTGACAAATGTTGAAATTTTAATCCGGAATCCGATCGGCCGAACAAAATGGAGAAGAATAGTATGAAGACATCCAAACTGGGAATAAATTGCACAGAAATAATTCAGCATGCACAGGAGCGACACAATGTTACGTCCGTCGTTGCCTCGAGAGTCGACATCTCGCACTCTCTGAGCACTCTCATCCGCAATCTCTCTCACTTACACAATACCATTATCGGAAACACCACCAGATATTTCACCACGGTCTATGAGAGTGCTCGAGGCCCTCTTAAATGCAATGTAATTTGTTTAGCTTTAGTGACCGTCAAATTCGTCCACAAACGGGGAGTCGGTTTGCCGTGGGGTGTATGGGTCTTAGCTAAGAGACAGGCGAACCCATCTCCTAACCCGGCGGTCGCCACGAGGAGGCGCCTAGGACATGTAACCATGACCAACGAGAGAGGGAGATTCAGGCAGGCACCTGTGCATTCGAGAGGAAAAAGAGTAATAATTGATCCCGCCGTTTACCCACGCTTGATTAAATTTCTTCATTTTGACCT